AAAATGTCATCTAAACTGGCAACTGCCATCATTCTTCTCCTCTTATTGGGTTGTTGCAGTTTCTCACAAACAATCCTCGCGTTCCAAACATCAATTTTTAACTTTATCTACTCAACCACACCTAAAACTTTTCTCATCTCTTATCCATCGGCCACAATCTCTGGCACGAACCGATATCAGACCACTACTACAACGCCCTATTTTTATATCAAGACACAAATAATAGGTCTTCAGACAATTCCCTTGCTACCTACATTCCAGGTGATAAATTGTGGAGTTTTGGTGTCACCACTCTTGTCAAATTCAACAAGTTTAGTGGAATTTTTCACATGTGATTTGCCGACTGTTGATCTGCTCTCACAAACAGTCACAGTGAAAGTATCACCAAAAACAGCACAATTTATAGAGGGAACTTTTGTTGTGAATATGGGATTGCAATCTGGAGTTTTATTAAATGTGCTGAGTTCAGTGTTGGGAGTGGCAAATCCAGTTCTGTCACAAATTGAGATTGATGTTTTTAATACAAATCGAACGGACACTGTTCTGACGAGTGGATACTCAATGATGGCTCTAAATTTGTCTATGCCTTCGTTTTCAACCATGAATCCAATGCTTCCCGAGCCAGCTATCGATTCACAAACAGGTGAAAGATTCATGCCAATGAAGAAGAGTTTTTTTATCAATGCCAAGTTGAATACTAAATTGAAAAATTCAAATGCCAATATTAGATATAATTGGGACATTGTGAAAATAAGTGATAAAACAATGGAAATGAAAAGCTCTCTTTCAAAGACTAGTTTGATTAAGAATACGTTGGGAAATTATGAGAAAGTCACTAACTATCTTCAGGATAGAGAGCAAACCAATCAATTGGGAATTTCCATGTTGACCTTCTCAGAAGATGCAGATTTTGATTTTGACTCTGTTTATAGAATTTCATGTGTTGCCAAATGGTGGAATAGCACAAGTGCTACTTCAATCATGATTGGAAGATCGAATGATATTTATTTGAAAACACCAAAAAGATTTTTCCCTCAATTTGCTCAATTTAATTCAGTATTTTCAATTTCACCACTTGTGGAAAAGATGACAATAGAATTCACCTTCAATGTCACAGCACCATTTGTGTATGACGATCAATCTAATACTCCAGCAGATTCCAACTTGATGTTTGCCTTTGGTTATGTGAATGCAAAACTTGCTACTCGTTTGACAGGTGGTTCAGATGTTGTCATTAAATCAGGAATGGCTGACATTCCAAATTCTGAACTTTCACAATATGTAGTTCAGATTACACCATATTCTTCCAGCAAGCTACACAAATCCTACCTTCCTCCAGGATTTTCTCTAAGAAATGCAGAACATTTTAATAATACAATGATTTTGGATAATGCACCATTGGAATATAGACAAAATCCAGTGCTATTCGTTTATGATAGATATTATGGATTGAATAGGGTGTTTGTTTTGAGTGGTGGAATGTGTGTTTGTCCAGTTCCTCTCGATTCTGTTTATCCATTCATGGAAAATTTAAGGAATAGAGTTATTCAGGGTACCGTCGATTCGTTTCAAATCAAATCACTCATGGGAATGGTACAGAAAGCCTATGATGGAGGTGATCCAAAATATATTGACCTCATTCAGAGATCAGCATTTGGAGTGTTTATTTCATTGTTGAACACTATTGAAACACCAATCACTAATCCAAATAACAAGACTGAATATTCAAAGGCAGTTTCGAATATCATGGTTGCAGCTAAAATTTTGGAAATGTGGTCTTTCAATGCGACTCAATATCTGTCAACAATGGCCATCGATATGGAGAGTGACATTGTGAGTGGAATTCAAAAGTTTGTTAACATTATTAGAATTGATGCAAGATCCAACTCATTCACAGGAGAAAGTTCTAAAAATCAACCATTGGGTAGAATTGACTCCTCATTCATTTCTAGTGTATGCTCTTCCTTATCCAATATAATCCAAATCAACCAATCCATTAGGTCAAAGCTTATCAGTTCTATCAAATTACTTTCAGCTTCAATTGTGGATTCCATTTCACCTTCAGAGGAAAAAACTCTCATCACTGACAAGTTGACCTTCATTGTTAGAAAAGATTATGGATCGACTTATAACAGTAGTGAGGTGGTCATGGGTAGCTCAAATGCCATAACTGTTCCGCCAGGAACTGTGGTTCAAGGAAAGAAGCAAGCAGTGAGCGATTCTGATCTATTTGGTACAGAATATGTGCTCTACAGTGAGAATCCAAATTCCGACAAGAATCAAGATAACAGCTCACAAATTGTCAGTAACGTATTGTCTTTGAGATGTATTGATAATGGCGGAGAATATTTTCCACTTTCAGATCTTTCAGATCCAATTTCATTGAACTTTGAGGTAGAAGCATCTAGTTTGGATTCAATTCTCAAAACTAACAACATTTCCATGGAGAATATTACTTGTAGATATTGGAATGAAACAGTATCGGATTGGAGAACAAATGGATGTACTGTCAGCAGCTACTCAACAAAAGATGTCAATGGAACAATTTACTACTCGATTAATATGAAGGCATACCACACAACTCAATTTGCTGTATTTGTAGAACTAAGCCAAGATTTGTCAAATATCAAAAACTATACCTCTGAGCAAAAGACTGCCTATCACGTGTTGTGGGGATTCCAAATAGGTATTGGGTTTATTATCTGCATTGTTAGTTTGGTCATGCTCATTTTGCTATTCATTTACAGAAATCAGCAGCCAATCAAAGCTAAATATGTTGCTCCTTTCATTGGAATGGTATGCATTTTCTTGGACGCTCTTTTGGGAAGTGTCACAAAAAGCGCTGTCATGCTTGGATATTCTGTTTCAGGATCTGATTACTCTCCAATAGCACTCAACTCATTGACCTACATTTCTTCTACCATTTTGGGAGTAGCTCTCAGCATTAGTGTTCTCTCCTTTTTAATTCAAACTACAAGATATCATCTCCTCAGAAATATGTATTCCCTATTGCAAAGATCAGAAACAAAATCTCTCCAATTGTTGAATATCATCACCTCTAAAGGTATTTACATTGTTTCTGTTCTTTTACTCTTTGTATTCATCTTCCTCTACATGGGAGGAATGGCAGCTGCTAGAATTTCACAAGAGGTAATTGACAACTCTTCTGGACTAACCTCTAAAATCTATACGATAGCTACCTCCAGTTTTATTGGAGCTATATTAGTTCTTGCATTGGTAGCTCTTTCTGTCATGTTCGTTTTGGATTTGATTTTGAGTTATAACAGATACATGAAAATGAACAAATCTAAAGCTGGTTCCTATAGTGGATTGAAAGAGTCAACTGTGGAATTGCAAGATGTTCCAAGTCGAAAAGATAAGAAGGACATAATTTCAGTTGAAGAGGCTGTGAAGCTGGTCAAGGAATACTCATCGAACGGTTATAGATTCTTTATCATGGACGATCCACTTTTATTCAGATCTGAAACTCTACTATTCATTATATGTCTGTTAGTATTGGTATCTTCCTATGTATTCGGTATTGTAAATCTTGGGCTTTTTACTTCAAATTACAGCACCAAGTTGAGTACTACTGTTTCAACCTTTGAAATCTCATTAATTATGGAAATTATCAGATTGATTCTCACAGTAGTTTACTTTGTGTTGTACATTTTCGTATTTGGAGGATTGTCACTCATTTTCTACTTTAAAAATTACAGAAATTCAGTCAAGAAGGAACAGGATGCTACTCAAGAATTAGTAGAATTATTGAGTGATGAATTGGGTGCCAAATTATTCGAAAATTTTTGTACAAAAGAATTCTCCCTTGAGAATCTGAAATGTTACAATGAAATTTTGGAACTCAACACATCTTCCAATCTTATCAAAGATTGTTCAGCTTTCCGCGATAAATATTTGAGTGCATCTAGTCCCCTTGAAGTCAATATTCCAAATCCTACCAGAAAACTATTCATATCTCTATTTGAAAAACAAGCTTCACAATCAGAATTTTTAACAGCTTTGGACACTTTAAAAAGCGACATTGTACTAAACCTTTCTGATACCTACTCAAGATTTGGAGTTTCTAAAGATTATACCTCTTGGCAAAAATTGAAATCAGAACGAGAAAAATTCACCTCAAAGGTTGGAATGTCTATCTAATCATAACATCCTAGACATCAGTTTGAAGCCAAATAATAACCTTTATTCAACACTTTTGGTTTCAATGTGGGACTACCAGCTCACTCATCACGAAATTACAAATTATTACGGTGACAATGTTGCAAGCATGAAATCTTGTAATCTCCAGTACTTCCAGCACAATACTTTGAACAATCAGATCCTTGTGAATCACTCAAAGAAGAAATCAAATTAAGCAACTTATCACTTGCCTTCTTCTTCAACTTTCTAACACTTGGGAACAATTTCTTGACAATTTGACTATCAGAGGCATTTGGATACATTCTACGAATAATATCTCTCAAAAGAGAAACCGAGTTGGATGATTTTTCTTGTTGTTGAGCACTAACAGCACAAGCAAGCAAGAGAACCAAAGCAAGGACAATACAGAAAGAAATCTTATTCATATTGTTTAATTTTTTCAGAATGTTTAGAATAGAAATGAAATAGTTGTTGAAATTTAAAGGAAAATCACTATTCAACGTGCAAATTGGAAAAGAAATGTGTGTTTCAAGAATATGCCGGTATCCTCTCATGTTCTGTTGTATTGGTCATATTGTCTTGATAATAATTGGTAAGATTACAATAATATTGTAAATGAGTTTAATTAAACTGGTATGGATCTATCTTGTGTAGACAAAACTTTCCAATCGAGACAATGTTGATTGAAAAGGATGAACCCAACAGAAAGCTTATCACGCACATTATCACTCTCTAATTATCATGATAATACTTGAGTTATAAAGTTCATACTTCATCTTCCCAAGCAAATCAAGAGTGGCATCATTAATTCCTTAGCATCATTACTTTCTCTAATTCATATTGCCATTAGGAACCTTTCAAAGCTTGTCTAATGGATCTTTACATTGTTTAAAACGCTTGGATTCAGGCTCCCTTTATTATTACTGTTCTTTAGTTTGACCTGTTGAGAGGTGCAACAAGTTTGAATCAGATTCGTATTAAATGAAATGAGGTTCTTTTAAAAATTATGATGAAGAAACTTTGATTGTTTATAGTGAATGAAAACAATATGTTTGGAAGAGAGATGGGATTGAATCGAATAATATATTCGAAAGAGATGGAAAATGAACTAGAGCTCTTATCAGGCAAACAGTTATTCTTAAATTAGTGATGATTTGAATTGAAACCACCTCAATCACAAGCAGTCTTTCGAATCTATCACCAAATTCATTATTTCAAATTGCATTCTAAACTTTCGAATAGCAATGGTAATGAACTCACACAAGATCAAAAAAAGAATGAAAATTCAACCTATTGATTCATTCCAAAAGGTTTGTTCTAAGACATATTTCCAATAACATTCCACCATTTCTATTAGAATGATGAAACTATTGTAGAAGAAAGATCAGTTATCAAACCCATCCAAAAAACAAAATGTGGTGGAATCATTTCTGTGCGCACATTTATCATTATTCTCATCACCACATTGTTATTGACCTGTTCTCTCATGATCTGGTTGACTTCATTTGTTGGATCAAGGGAAGCAATGAGTTTCATGTCATTTGAGCTCATGTCAAGTGTTGGAGATTCAGTTTTACATTATATGGATGGTCAATTGAGACCATATATTGCAGCAACTGAATCTATTGCTGATGACTTCAATTTGCAGATTATTCCAAAGATTCCATCACTTTCGTATTTGCACAAAATGTTTATTAGATTCAAACCTTACGGTATTGGTTTATTTTTCAATGATTCGCTCAATAGTGTTAATGTTTTTGGACTAATTGGTGGCGAGTTTCCAGTTTGGTATACGAAACCAATAGACGAGAAAGTTCTATATGCAATTGGACTAAACACCCAATCACCAAATATCACTTCAACTAAAATGGTCACTAAAAGCCCGAACTATGAAACAATCTCACAAAGTTATTGGACTGTCACTTTATCCAATTTCAAAAATCTTGACGGAGCTTTTGGAATTCCATATGCAATTCCAGGAAATCCAAGTTACACGACCTATTATTGTGTTAAACTGTTTGAACCAAGTTTATACATGATGGGTGTGAAGCAGGTAGTTGGATTTGCCAAGACAAATATTTCATTAAGAATTATTCAGACATTTCTCAAGACAGTTGACGTTTTGAAAAATGGTTTTGTAATTGTGGCAGAAACAAACAATATGGTTATTGGAGGGAATATCAACACTACTGCTTTGGATGGTTTCTCTAGAGTTTCTATTTTTGATTTGATAGATTCGGATGCTGGATTCGTATTAGAAAGTTCTTTTAAGAAATTTGGTAGTTGGGAAGCAGCTCCATCGTTTTTCGAAGTGGAAAATCATTTTGTTGTGAAATTGGACTTTTCTTTAGTCAACCTAAAGTGGAATGTCTTTGTTGTGGTTGAGAAGAAGGAAATTGAGCTAGTTTCGAATATAACTTCTGGAGTTTCTGTTGGTATCACCATTCTCATTATCATATTTGGTGTTATAATGTCAATTTTGATAAGCCATACTGTCACTCATCCATTTACAATTCTAGAAAAAGAGTTTAGAAAAATCAAAACTATGGAACTTGAAAATGTTAACATTTCAGGAAGCAAATTTTCAGAAGTTGACACAATTTATATGTATCTTTATGAAATGACAGTTTGGCTGAATGAAATTAAAACATTCATACCAGAGAGTGTTTTCCTTCAATTACGATGTATTGAACTTGAGAAAAATGGTGTAGAAAGTCAAACTAAACATGAAGCTTCATCAGAATTAGAATCTCAACATGATGGAGTTTTGGAATCAAACTCATCAATGATTTCGAAAATCCAAGAGACGAGTAATTCTTTGTTTAAGATAGGGTTGAATAGAAAACAATGCTCAGTCATTAGGGTGAAACTTGAGAAATATTCGAAAGAGTTGAATAGTGTTGATGTTGGAAACTTGTTTGCAAAGATTATTTCTGGAATGACAGTCATTGCAAAGAATATTCAAGGCGACTTACAAGTAATAACAGTCGATGACTATCAAATTTATGTTTCGGATGGAATTGGAAGAAAGTCTTCGAATATTCTTGCCTTAGAAGCTGCTTTGAAACTGAGAAAGCTCATTTCTACAATCAACAAAACTTCTCAATCCCATATTCAATGCTCTATTGGCGTTAGTTCTGGAAAGAGCAATTCAGGAAATTTGGGAACTCATTCGTTTCGTATATTTACTATTGTTGGAAATGTTCCTTCGAATGCAGAGAAATTATCCTTACTTGCTTCTTCGCTACATTGTAACATTGTTTGTGATGAGAGTACATTGAACGAGAATACGAAACATCATTTTGTGTATCGACCAGTTGATAAGCTGTTACTAGATTCGGATGAAAATTCGAATGGAGTTTCGTCTATTGTTTTTGAAATTAATAAGGAAAAGGCAATAGAAGGTGATGGTAAGTTTGCGAATTTCAACTATTTTCTAATCAAATTCTAATAGAATGGATGTATGAATTGGAGCAACAAAAGGCAAATCAGAAATTTACCGAATTTGGAAATTTCTTTATTTACAATCAAAATTTAAAAGATTTGTCAAGAGAAGAAATTTTGAATTATTTACAAGAAATTGAGGGAAATTTGTTATGGAACAATCAGATCTTGATTCTACAACCAATGCGATTTCTCATAAATTATTGAAGAATTTGAAATTCTTTTACAATATTTATCAAAATTCAAATGAAAAGTTAGTTAACACAGAATTAATGAGAGAATATCATTCTCGAGTTCAGCATGTCGTTTTTGAAACTCTTCCCTCTATGGACCAGTTTTTTTCAAACTAATTGAATAACAAAAGAAATTTCGAATAATAAAGTTATAATATTACGCCTCTTTCCAACATGTTTATTCATTCGAAACTGATGAGCATGTTTGAAGCAATAAAATTGCAGTAATGTGTTTTCATGCATGCAAATATTTCATTATCTGAAAATTTGGGTAATTTGCAAGTTGTTTGTACAAAAAAAATGCCTGATTTGGATGAAGAGAAACCCATCCATAATCATCAACATCAACAGGTAAAAGCAACACGCTCGGAGGAAGCACTGCATCATGAAGATGACAAGGATGAGGAACAAAATATTAATAATCTTCTTCTTGATGATGATGAAGATGAAGAACAATTATCGGGAGGAGAAGGAGATTGTATGTTAGTGAAAATACAACAGCCAAAGGATCGAACACCATCATCATCATTGGAAGGTAATACAACAAGTGTTAAAGATTATTGCATATTGTACTTTTACTTGTTTTTGTATTTTCTTACCTTTGGATTGTTGAATCCTATTGCTTTTGAGCTTTTTGAAAGAGTTTATATAGCAGCATATGGAGATTCACATTTTGCAACGTTTATGTTTGGTTTTTTTAATTCATTTCCATGTTTGATATTCTTTTGTATTAGTCCAATTGTGGGAAACTTATCGGACAAGTATGGAAAGAAGAGGTTTTTGATAATATTTTCAATACTTTACAATGTGATATTTATTATTTATTTGACTCTTTCTGGATTGATTTCTTGGAAAGATGAAGAATTGATTTCTCCGATTGTTTGGATAAAAAAGAATAGTATAGTTCTGTATGCAATCGCATGTGTGATTCAAGGATTTGCCTTGGATATTATTCCATTAATCAATTCATTAATTTCAAATTATCATTATAGTAATAGTGAAAGTAATAAGGATTCTGGAATATTTGGAAATTTATCTAATTTATTTTCATATGTAGTTGCTATTATGGGACTTTCAACAACTATTGGATCAATAATCAGTGCACTAGTTTTAAAATTTATGGATATTGCTACTGTATTCGGATTAATTTTACTAGTGTCACTATTTTCGACCTTTGTACTTTTTAAATATTTACATGAACATGTTACTCAATCTAACGGAAAGAGTAACACTACTATTTTCGATCAACTTGTTTTTCCATTTAAATATATTGTTAAGATATTATTTTCTGGTGAAAAGGTTTTAATTTTTCTAATTATTACAAAACTATTGAGTACAATTTCATCATTTGCATTCTTTTCCACAATTACTCAATTTACTAGGTATAAGTACCATTTCACACCTAGTGACAATGGTTATTTACTCACAATTTTGGGGCTTTGTGCAATTTTGTCAAATTCCTTATTGTCAAAGCTGATTTTGAAAATTTCTAGGAATAGTGAAAAGCATGCTCTCTTACTGACTTGTATTTTCACTGCCCTATTATCCCTTTATTTCATTCTGTGTCCGAGTGGAGATTTAATTTATTTTGGAATGCTGCTATTGCTTATTGGTGCTAAAGAGGATGCTTTAAGAACTAGCTTGATTATATCAATATTTAACAAACCAGAGGAACAAGGCACACTTAATGGATGTTTGGGTTCTATATCAATTATTGGCAGGGCTATTGCTCCATTATTATTCTCTTTTGTTTTGAATGAATCTAGGGAAATATTTATAGATTTACCATTCGTAATTATCTTGATAATTCAAATTGTTGGTATTGCTATTGTTTTCAAAATCATTCGTATGAATTAAACTAGGATCTACCTAAAAACCATAGATTTTCATATATTATAGTCCATTTCGATTCTCACTTCTTCATTGTGAGAAAAATCTGTTTCAAATTAAACTTTAACTGAATCTAGTTGAAGTTTTCCCAAAGTCTTCTTATTGATCGTTGTTTGAGAGAATAAGGGGTGAGTAAAACTCCTCTAATGAATTTCAAAATATCCAATCCCATACTTATCAAATATTAATGCCAATTTGAAATCAGAAATTGAAACCTACAATATTCCAAGTATTCCTGATATCTGTCCGAATAAGCCTTCATAGGAATTATTATAAATCTCAGTAATGACATGCAGATTCAAGGTTGAATAGGCCACTGAAATAACAACAATATCATTCTCAGTCTGAGTGAGCTCTACCATTGAAAGTTGAGAAGTCCACCTTATTGAGTGTAATCCACCTTCACTGTTTGGTTTTAATCGTTTCGTGAAAACCTTAGTTAAAGAATAATAGTTATCATAACCAGAGATTGCACAATTCGTTTCAGAAAATACACTTGGAACAGTTCCATTCTCATGAAATGAAATTTGTAATCCAAAACGAGAATCTCTTGATTCAGGAGGGACCCTAAAATAGAAGGATATTGTTCCTGCATATCCAATTTCGGTAGCTATATCAGATAAATAATACGTCTCTCATTTCAAAAAATACTACTAACCTTGAATCCTTGAATTTGATCCATTATTAAACACCAAACAGTTAAACAATTGTCCATGTTGAAAGATTTGAACTGTATCATGATGAAAATCAAAATCCTCCACCACTCCACTCTTACCATTCACTCTCGTTGCATATTTCAATGTTAAATTACAATAATCACAAGATACCATTGCATTCCAATTACAAACAGTAACTGCTGGAAAATACATTGGCACACTTTCCACATAACTAGTGGCAGTGGTTGGATTATTCCTCGATGAAACAAAAGAATCGACCGAATAAACAATATACGAAGAACAAATAGCAGCTGCTACCAACCATCCGAACATTGTTATATATTCTGCCACAGAGGGCAGTGCAATCTTATACTTGTTCCAAAATAAGGGCTGTTTCGGAGGTGGTAAATGTTGAGGAATTTCTTTTTTAACCTTTTTCCTCTTATTAGCAACACTTTCATCATCGTGATGATCAGTTCCTATAGTGTGTGTCTTCCTTCCGACCTCAATAAATATGCTATCAGTGCTCACCTCCAGCTTTTTTCTGTGAATGGAAGACATTTTTTTTAAGGCGCCAAATTGGAACTCACTGTAATTTTGGATAACCAAAAAATGCAAAGCCTTAAAAGATCTTTATTGGTATATTGTTGTTGTAACTTAGTATAAATTGTAATAATACTATTTAATAAAAAGAATAAAGTTTTAAAAAAAATGAGAAAACTTCGTGTTGGATTATGTCAATTTATGGTCACGGCCGATAAGAGCAGAAATATTAAAAATGCAATCGATAAGATTAAAAAGGTGAAGGAGATGGGTGCTGATTTGGTTGTACTTCCCGAATGTTTTAATAGGTAGGTGGTGATGATTTGATTGTGGAAAGGAATAATTTATTGTGGATGTTGAATTGTTGATCATGATCGGAATGTGAAAGTCCATACGGAACACAATTCTTTAAACAATATGCTGAGGATCCAAGTGATTCTCCAACATTGAATGAAATGTCAAAAGCAGCCAAGGAAAATGATATTTATTTAATTGCTGGATCTATACCAACTAAATCTCAAACTGTGGATAAAATGTTTAATAGTTGTTTTGTGTTTGATAGAGATGGAAAAACTGTTGGAAGATTTGATAAGATTCACTTATTTGAATTGGATACACCAACTTTGAAATTTAAAGAATCAGAAGTATTGTCACCAGGATCAGATTTACTTTCATTTGAAATGCCAGAATTCAATGCTAAAATTGGTATTGGAATTTGTTTTGATATTAGATTCCCTGAATTAGCATCTATTTATCAAACTCAAAGAAATATTAATATGATGGTATTCCCAGCTGCTTTCAATAAGGTCACAGGACCACTCCATTGGAATTTATTGGCCAGGGGAAGAGCTGTCGACAATCAAATATTCACCGTATTGTGTTCACCTGCCAGAGATGAGCAAGCTGGTTATGTTGCGTATGGACACAGTTTAATATCCAATCCACTAGGAGATATTATCAAGGAACATGATGAATCTGAATCTGTGTCTGTAACTGAGATTGACTTGGACCAAGTTACTACTGTCAGATCTCAAATTCCAACCCTTCCAAATAAGAGATATGAACTCTATGAAAAATTAAGGCATTAAATTTATTTCACATGAATATGTACAGGGTTTAATCATCTTCTTCCAATTGGGCAAGCTCCTCCTCAGTCAACCCTTCCAAATCATCATCATCATCGTCATCCATTACTTCGTCCTCATCAATTTCAAATTCAAAGTCCTCATCATCAAGATTTTGTGGAGTTTGTGGTTCTGGCTTGTATCTGAAAGGCTCTGGCATAGCGAATCCAAGTGGAAGTGAGTTGTTGGCCTTTTCAGCAAGCTTTTTACATCTATCCAAAAATCCCTTCTTGTTATTTCTCCACTCAACTGAAGCATCAACGTTAGCAGGAGATGAAAAATTAGGATCAGATAACATTGAAATAACAGAAAGAAGAATAGTTTCTGGTGTTTGGGTTGGATTCCACCTTTCCTCAGGTCTGTTGATTATAGTGTGATTAGATTAAAAATAAAATTGTTGATTGATCAAGTTAATTATTAAACAATAATTTGATCATATTAATAAATTCCAATCAAGTAGATTTACAAACCTTTCTCCAGACATTTCATCTTCTCCAGGAGGGTGTAAAATACTTTAATTTTGTTTAATATTTTCCAATAAGCTGTGCAAACATACCTAATACAAACTTTTCCGTCTATTAATATACAATATTATTATTATTATAAAACAATACAATATTATTATTATTATAAAACAATCCGATGATCCAATAACAATTCCTTCATATAAACTTACCTGTGTAAACATTTGGATGCCAGAATTCGCTTACGAAGGTAAGAACTGGTGGAGAGAATGGATAATCTTCAGGGAAATCAATGGTTCCAACATAAATACCATTCTCAAAAGGAGTATCTGATGGTCCTTTAATAAAGAATCTCCACTTGTAAACATCCGATTCATCAATCAATTCAACAGTGAAGCCTTCAACAGGTTCCTTCTGCATCTTCTTCAATTGATTTATCAAGATACGTGCCGATGATGAAGAACTCATTTTAATAAGCTATATACAATGTATTGTCTTTTTGTATGATGTTAGTAAAGTACGACCACTGAACAATGTTGTGATGTGCTTTTTGCTGCAAAAAGGAGTCAAAAACAAGTGACGTAAATTTTTTTGTAAATTTTTGATTTGTTTGGTGTTGATGCAACTAATTGAACATCAAGCTAAAAAAAGCTTGTTAATTGAACAACTGAATGGTTTGTTAGATTGCAAAAATTAAAGTTTAATATTGGCATGCCTAATCTGAATTGTAACCAGTCTCAAACCTGGAAATTTCAGACATGACTTCAAACACTTCCTTGTTGTCAGCAATAACACCAGTCTTTTTCTTATCTTGGTATTCTTCCTGCTTTTTTCGTTCTTGGTCTTGTTTCTTTTTTTGTTTAATGAAAGGTGTTCCAATATCTTCTTCCATGATGGTTCTCTTTGTTTGTTGTAGGGTTCTGAATTGTCTATCTCTATCTCTGTGTAAATGTCTACTCAGTAACACATCCTTATTATTGTACAAATATTCACAAAATGCTTGGTCGTATTCTGGGTTGAGTGTGTTTCTCTTTGTTGTTTTCAATGCTTCGGCATTCATCATGCTTTCAGAAAATGTATTAAGAGACTTTGTCAAGTGTTCTCTATCTTTTAGAGAGTTGAGATGATGTCTATTAGTTCCTGCAGGCATATCCAATAAGAGAGATTGCTCCAATTGCTGTCTTTGAAACCTTCTCTCATGAAGTTTAGACCTTATTTCCTCCCTTCGTTCCTGTATATAACTCATTCTCAAATCCTCATAGTAGAATTGATCCAATAAATCTTGTTGCAATTTAAGGGCCACTTCTGCATCAGCCTTCAGTACTTCATAATTCCTATTTAAATATAATCTTTTTCTTTCCTCCTTTTCAATCATGTCCCTCTCGGTTTGAGCAAATTGCTCTTCCTGAGTTTTTGGTTTTGGCCTTGCCATTGCCATAGTGGCTTCCTTTCTCTCATAATAGGTATCATAGAAAGCACCAGCTTCTTCATTCCGATTAGCACATCATGATGTTTATTAATCAACCTACCACTCACGTTGTTGTTTTTTTTATCCATCTTTGAGGTGTTCAGTAACGTGCTGTAGTTGAGTTTTGTGGCGGGAAACTAACTTGGCACCTATTAATGTTCCATAACCATTTTATTAAAATTCCATTAATGAATTCAAAGTAAATGTAATAATTAATGAAGGTCATCGTAATAATAATTAATAAATATTATTGAAATAAGTTAAAAATCATTTTTATAATACATGTAAGTACAGTGCAAGACATATCACTTATGGTTCCTTGATTCCGATCAAGCTCTTCAATTTTTAAATAATTATTATCTATATTGTTATTAATCAATCCAGCACAAAATATCGGGTAGTATTTACTTTTTAGGAGGTGTTGTTGGCTGTGGGGTTGTGGTTATCGAAAACAAATCAGCATACTCTAGATCTTTAGAAAGAAAATTATTAATTTGTTGTATAACTTCAACTTTTACACTTGTAGGAATCTCGGATCTTGCGATTGGAAGCATATCATGTACTATTCCTGGTATCGATAGTTGTCCAAACTCTTGTTCTTCCATTGTTTTTTTAAAGGCTTCCGAAACTCTAGCATGCCATCCATTTTCTTCCAATCTCAATTTTAATAATTCCTTTAATCTTTCCATTTCTCCACTTTGTTTCACCTTTTCAAAAATGTTGTTTTCCTCTTGTGTTATGGCCTTTTCAAGATCGACCACTGGTTGTTCTGGCATTTTTTTAATAAAAATTATTTAATTTATTTGGCGCCAATCCAAGTTTTATTCATCTTTGGATGGTTGTTCTGTTGAACTTTCTTGCTGTTTGAGTTTGGCTTCTTTCATTGCATTTCTGTGTCTCTTTGTCCTTTCTTTGAGCTCTTCTTTAGTATATGGTGATCCATTACTCCAATCTTCAATCTCTTCAATTGTACAGACATTCTCATTCACTCGACACAAAATATTGAAAACATCAACGTGAATTCCAAAGAGTTCTTCTTGACATTTCTCTCTACGATATTTGCTTCTTGGATCTAATTTAATTAAATCTTCAAAGAGTGATTTAACTTCATCGACTGTCTTGTAAAATGTGGATTTTTTCAATAGAGTTTCAATCATTTCTAATGATCGTTCTGTGAATTTCACTTGTGTAATTTCTTGTTGTTTTCTTGGCATATTTTCCATCCAATCTGCAACTTTGGCAAATAAATTACTATCAGTACTATCATCGAGTTCAACAGTGGAGGCACTTGGAATTGATGAACTAGTTTCTTCATCAGTCTTTCGTTTCTTTGTTGAGTTTTCCGAGTTTTCTTCAAAATATTTCTTCACAATTTCTTTAAGAAGAGGTAATGAGAGAGGTTGTTCCATAACCATATCATATTCTGGAATGTATGGTTTAATATCAACAATAGGAGTTCCATCAACTAAATCAATTCCTGATAAATGTAAAATTGCATTATTATTTTCATCTCTTTCAATTCTATCCAATTTAACAACACTCATTCCTAAAGGATTTGGTCTATATGGAGCTCTACAACTCAAGGAACCAATTTTCTTTCCGTTCATTCTTGGTGGACGAACTTTAGCCTTTTGCATCATTTGAAATTTGGTTAATTCTGTCCCTGATGATGCTGCATTATCATTTTCATCATTCGGAGCAGCTAAATTATTATTTTGATGGAAAACCCAGAATAACCAAATGTGAGAAAATCCTTCCAAACCCTCCACAAAATGTTGTGTATTGCTTGTAAAACCTCCAAATTTTAATAAAAGTCTTCCTCTAGCCTTCGGAACGATGAGAGATTGTCGAGGACATCCTGTTTTTTGTTTAAAGACTGATTCCAAAAATCCCAAAACTTCAAATTGAAAGCTCTTTCTAACAACTTGTTGAACGGTTGATGAAGAAGCACTTGTTGACATTTTTTTAAGTTTAATTTATTATTCAAAATCATATGTGCACTATATGAATACTTTGATATCCATATCTGTTTTTACTTGTGTTTATCTTAACATGATTAGTTTCTTATCCATACAATTCAGGGAAAATATTTGACTTTACCTCTGCTGGTACCGCGTTTAGTAATTTTATCTAAAAATGAGGGTTGGCAAGACTTATTTGTCAAAACCAAAAGAGTCTCCTAATAAATAATATTGAGGTGGTTAAGAAATTGTAAATAAGGATGCCATGGTTGGTCCCATAAGTTGGCGAACCATCATCAACAAAAATACAAAACACGCTTCAAGCAGCACTGGCGAATCAATTCGTAGTCAATTCGAATTTTATTCCGAGGCTACCTCATAATTTAGTGTTTGGCTATTAAACCAAATGAATGAAAAAATGTGGACACACAAATTATCATGGCTGTTAAGGAGAGGATTAATAAATGAACATGATAATTTGGCTGTGTAAAACAATTAATAATGAAGAACCAAATCAAGTGTCAAATTACCATGTCAAGAAATTAAAAGTACAAATATATGAATGAACATTACAAAGTATTCTTTTGGGCTTTTTAAAAAAAATAGAGAGTAAAACACACACAGATTTTTCTCATTCAAATACTCATCATCACACTACTACTGTTACATCTCAACTGAAATGAACATGCTGGCTCGGAACGGTGATCAAAACAATTTCCCACTCGATTCAACCTTTCTTTGGATTAATAATTGTCTAATGCAAATATTACAACAAGCAATGGTTTGGTTGGATGCAGACAAGGATTCGAGTAGGGATTTTGTGGCCCTATTGATAACAATTGTTGGATCGGTGGCAACATTGATTGGATTGGAATTGATTGGGAAATTGTTACCAGAGAAGGTGAGAAGAAAATTGGTTCATATATTCATGGGACCTGTTTACTTGTTGTTTTGGAATTTATTTGAGGGAAATTCATTGAAATCGAGAGTGATATGTGCTTTGGTTCCTGGATTTTTGACTTTTTATTTTGTCTTGTTGGGTTTGTGTTTGATTTTTGGATTTATTAATGTTTGATTTAATAATTAATATTTGATTGTAATGAATTTAATGAAAATTATAATATTTGAATAGGATTGGGTATTGCAAAGAATGAATTACTTGTTAGGACATTATCGAGATCTGGAGATCCAAAGGAAATTCTCAAAGGACCCACAATTTATGGATTGGTATTTGTGTTGAGTACTGTTCTCTTTTGGAGAAATGATCCAAAAGCAATAGTTTCGTTAATGATCTTGTGTGGAGGTGATGGATTTGCAGATATTATTGGAAGAAGTTATGGAGATAGTTTTAGATTCTCTAATTCAAAATCATTGGTTGGAAGTTTGGGAATGTTTTTGGGTGGATTTATTTTCAGTTTTATTTATCTGAGATATTTTGAAGTGAATGGCATTCTTTCATTTTCAACATTTGACAATGTGACTCAATTGTTTATTATTAATTTGTAAGTGATTTTCAAATGAAATTTAATACTAAGGTTAAAAAAGAATTTGTACTGTTATTGAGGCAGTTTCATCTGAAGGACCAAAGAAAACTAAACTTGTCCAGATATATGGAGAAGATAATGTTACAGTGTCAGTGGCTGCTTGTATTCTATCAATGATACTATTTAAATAATTCGACCCTTATTTATGAACCATTCCACAATAAAATAAACAAAACCTTTCTCAAATATGATCCAGAAATTACTTGTTATGACATCAATTCAACTCAATAATTTATTAATTAATCAACTTTAGAGATTGATGCTTTGTAAGATGTGCTGAGGAATGAGTGGTGAGTGTCTCTAGTGTAAACGCCTCAACTGAATAAATTTCAAAGTCTGTTGTCGAAGTGAGTGGATCATTTCCATAGGTTTCGCTTTTGTGTGAAGATCCATATTTAAGATCGGCATCCAACGTAAAGGCAAATCCATCTCCTCCTCCACCAACTGCTAATTGTTTTGCAGATGACAATTGGAAATATTCATTTGTCTTCATCCATTTGTAGGCATGAATGGTTGGTTGTGGTTTGTTATCTTTAAGTGGGTGTTCTACAAGGACAAAATCTTCATGATCTTCAGGTTCTTCCTTTTCTTCCTCTTCTTTTTGTTTGTCAAATTTGAAAACAAAAGACTCAGCATCTCCATAATATTTATCCTATTATAGTAATTGTAAAATGTGTCAAAATTGTGAAAAAACTTACTCTCTTTGTCAATTCAATCTCGCAAGTTAAAAAGGCTCCAAATACTTCGCCATGTGTTGTTTCCACTACAATAATTATTGGTTGATTTTCAGCAACTTTTCTGTACAATGTAAGTAAGCTGATACCATGTTCTTGGGTAGAGTACAATAAAACTAAATTCTTATTACGGAACCTTAGAGGGAATGAAAGAGATAATTCCCTCAATTGTGATTCTTTCAATGAAACTGGACTAGTGGCCTCTAAAACTTGTGGAGTCTTAAAGTGCATCATCATATCGTGATGTAAATTCTTTGGGTAGTGGAATTGTTGGACTGGTGGGCTTCCAGATTTTGTTGAAAGATGATTGTGATCCTCAGTTGGAGTGCCAACTGTTTTTGAGGTAGCAGATGACTTTTGGGGAGGTGTAATATATGGCTCAATAACTTCACCAGTAAATGGAAGGATAGAGAGGAAGGAGCTAGATCTTCCTCTTGTCCTTTCCACTTCTATATTGCTAGTAGTGGTGGTTGTGGAAACGGTTTGTTTAGGGCTTGAATTGTTAGGGCTAATTGGTGGTGAGCGATCATCCAATTCTTCAACGAATGGTTGAGCATTTGATCCAGATCTACTTCTAAATCCTACAATATTCCAAAAACCTTTACCAACGGATGCAACTCCTGAAGCAACAGATTCAGCCACACTACCAACACCTGAGGCAACTGTTCCTACACCATTTGAAACTCCCGAAGCAACTGTTCCCACTCCAGTGGCCATACCTGAAGCAACAGAGCCAACCACATTAGTTGAAGCTCTTGTGACATTTCCTACTCCATGTGCAACACCAGAGGCAATATTAACAGCAGTATTTCCAACTGATTCAACAACGTTATCAGCAAAGTTGAATGCTGATGTTGTCAGGTGTGATTCCTTATTTGCAGCATTAGAAGATGCTCTGCTCCTTCTACCAATTTCTTGGAGAACTGCCTGTTGTGATTGAATTTGCAAAGCAAGACGTTCCGATTCCTCCTTCTTTTTCCTTTCCTCCTGTTTTCTTTCCTCATCTTCCAACTGTTTCATTAGTGTATAGATTTGTGATTTACGTTCCTCTCTTCTAATTCTTTGTTCAAAGTGTTTTTCATTCTTAATTTTAACTTTTGTTCCTCCATCAAGTCTATCCAATAGTGAATATTCGGGATTGGCATTTAGGAAATCGTCAATATCCATTCCATTCCTAAGAGCAGCTCCTGCAACTGTACAGTCACAATCTACCGCAAAATCGATATATGGTGATTCAGTTGGTGATGATGGTTCCTCTCCTAATTTTCTAATTTTTTGAATAATATCGCGTGTAGTTTCATTCAATTCTTCTTCTTCCTCGATTTTGTTATTATTATTATTTACAGCTGTAGATGTTGTTGTGGTGGTTGTGTTGGTAGTATTATTCGGATTTGATTTATTCTGGCGTTGATCATCAACAATTTCGGTATTATTAATGATTTGATTAGCATCATGATGATGACTATTCACATTTTCTGAAATTTCTTGTTGTTTATTAGCATTGGAAACAACATCAGTACCGATTAAATCTCCATATTGTATTGCATTCGTCCTCTCCGACTCTGTTGGATTGTTGAGCATTTTTGTTATTGTTGTTTAATGACCAAAATAATCTTGTCAGAATTTGGAAGATTTTTAGGTTATGACTTTCACTATTAAGTTTTGATTGGAAAGTATTAATAATCGAGATACTATCAAAAAATCAGATCCAATATCTTTCTTGAGTTTCTTATGGATCAAGAAGATACTAGTAAAAAAGATGTCAAGTGTGGAATGACAATTAGCTCAAAGATTGGTTGTGGCCTTGTCGTGCATGTGATATTCCATTTCTAATTGGCGAAGCTTATTCTCATCAATGAAGGATTGTTTCTTCCAAGCAATCATGTAGGTATTGAGGACATATTGAGATTCTAATTCGTTCAAACTTTGGAAGGTAATCGTTTTGAAATCCAATTCATTTTCTAACATGCGCAGGTAAGTGGTGGCATACCTCACATAATCAAAAGCATTACTTAACATGTTATAGTCACCTTTCTCTGACAATGCCAAAATACTTTTACTAATATCTGAATTAGATGATTGACTTTCTTGGATTTTTAGTTTCATTTCACTCACCACTTCCTTCAAATCATATACAATTGTAAAGACTGAAAAATTGTAAATTTTCAATAATAATGATGAAACCTACATTCTTCAATACATTCCAAAAGAGATGAATGAGCCTGTTTGAGCTTTTTAGTAATTGAAATATCCATCATGGTAGAATCATTTGATAATGATTGACTCAACTCATTCTCAGTATTTGGTTTTACTCTATTTAATAATTGAATTAATTGAATATATTCCGAAAAATGTTCAATGCTCTTTTCATGTACTCGATTCCATTCCTTTACTTTTTCCAAAAACTTTTTATGATATAATTCATACAATTTTTCTAATACAATTTTCTCGGGAGAGGAAGTCTCTGATGCAGAAGTGGTTGTTGCACTTTTCCGACCCAAAGCAATGGACTGGAAAGAAAAGGGTTGTTGTTTAGATGACATTTTTTTCAAAAACAATTAACCTTCCTCAAAAGACTCGAAGTTTAATAAACATAAATTAAAATAGGCTTTGATAAATATCATTATTATTGTATTATTATTAGTGATTTTTATTAGAATCAATAAAGGATTTATAGTTGTGCTATTCTTCAGGTCATGACTCACACAGCCTTGTTTCTGACGTCATTTTTCTTTTGCCTTTGGCCAGAGCAGTATCAATTAGAAGCATTTTCGATATAAAAAAAATTAAAAATTTTTGTTACTTTGATCAAAAGACGAATTAAATCTTTTTGTTCATCATCACCTCACATTAAAACAAGAAGAAACATTAATTGATCATCAAGAATGGGATCATCCGATTCAAAGATTGAATTCAAGACTATGTTCTCCAAGTTGGGAGAAAATTACATAAAGCACAATGAACACAATTTTTGGAAACATCTATTCATCCAACCTTTGTCTATTGATGATATTTTCTCGATTATTACACCTGATGATATTCGTTCTTTGAGAATATCACAACCTGCGAATCTAGGAACGATAATATATAAGGTAAGCTTTACAAAATTTAATGTTAAATTTATCTCCTATTGTGCAATGATAATAGTGTATTGAACAATTATACCTTTTTTCACAGCCAAAGAATTACTCTGCTGAGAGTACTAGCGCCAAGAATTCTCTTCACCTATTAACAAGGATTCTTCCTTTTGTTTTTGAACATGATAATGATGGATTTGTTACTGATTTGTTCTTTAATAATGTCTTACCTGGATCTGCAGGTTTGCAATCTGTAGTTGGTGGGGCCACAAAACCAATCGAAACAAAGCAAGAAGAAACAAAACAACAGGAAACAACACCAGACACAACTACCACAACTCCATCGGAAGAAAATCCAACAGAACCAGCTTCAACTGCAACAACTGAACAAATCGAACAAATCAAACAAGGAATTGAACAATTGAAGGAAAAAGTTGAAGAAAAATTAGAAGAACAACCAGAAGTAACAACAGAAGAAAAATCAACAGAATCTACTACTGAACCACCAAAGGAAACAGTAGAACCAAAGGTTGAAGAACCTGTCAAGGAAAAGGAACCTGAAGTTCCAAAGGAAACTCCAAAAGAAACACCAAAGGAAACACCAAAACCAGTTGTTGAAACAAGTTCTAAAAAGAAAAAGAAGAATAAGAAAAAGAATAAGAAGGGAGGAAATGCAAAGGAAGAGGAAAAAGTAGTTGAGGAAGAAAAAACTGAAACACCAACAGAGGTTTCTAGTCAAGCTTCTACAACTGAAGAATCATCAACAACCACTGAAACAGTTGAAGAAACTCCAGAGGAACCAAAACAAGAAGAAACCAAGGAAGAACCAAAAGAGGAAGTTAAAGAAACAACTCCAGAGGAACCAAAACAAGAGGAAGTTAAAGAAGAAACAACTCAACAAGAAGCTACACCAGTTGAAGCTTCTCAAGAACCAGTTCAACAAGAATCCACATCAGTTGTTCAAACTACTCAAGAATCAGCCAGCAAACTTCTTCCAATTTTGAAAATTGCTGACACTAATCTTACAACCAGTCTTGCTGAAGTTATGATTCAAACTTTGATGAGATGTTTGTTCCTTCCTGATTTTACTGTTCCAATTAGTCAATTGCACGAAGAACAAATTTTGATTAAGACTGATACTTTGGATGAATCAGTTTTGTGGCAAACTGGTATGGCCACACATGGTAAGCCACTCCGTTCTGCATCATGGGAGCAAATGGAAAATAGAAATGATATTTTGAGATGTATGCTCACCTGTTTCTCAAGTGTTTTATACCAGGATGCTGAAATCTGCGCTGAATATGATAACAAATTCTTGAGTATTGCTGTTTCTGACAAGATTCCAAATGCTCATAATTTACTCTACTCTTTGTTGAATTTTGTGACAGCTTATGATCCAAGAGGTTCTCTTCCATATTCATCCCAACTTTTCACTGATTACTACACTCAATATATCGAAACCTCTCTGCACATGATGTCAGTGTTGTTGCAACACAAGCCAAAGAATCAAACTAATATTTATCATCAAATTTTACAACATCAATTCAACAATACTGTAGATATGACTCATTTATATTCCAAGCTTACACTTCTCTTGAGAAATGTTGTTGATTCTCATTATACATATTTACCAAGTTCTCAAAAATTGATTGAATTCTATGAGGAAGTTTTGTTGCTCTTCTGGTTGATTCTTGGAGAAGCTCCAGTTTTCAGAATCTTTGCTTGTAAGGAATTGAATATTACTGATCTTTTGGTTCCTTTGCTTTTCATCATCCAACTTCATAGTAAGCAAATTACCAAATTCCCTATTGTTCAATTAGCCTCATTCACTGTTTTATTATTGAGTGGTAACAGAGAATTCGGTGTTGCCCTCAATCAACCATACAAGATCACAGCTCCATTAGATGTTCCTGCATTCGAAGGTAACTATGCTGATTTGTTGATCTTGTTCTTTAACAAGGTCATGGTTACTGATAAGGGAGCCATTCGTGGATTGTACGATTGTATGCTCACCATCATTGCCAACATTTCTCCTTATACCAAATCCTTAACCATGCTTTCAAGTGTTAAACTTTTGAACTTATTCGAAGCATTTGCCTCTCCAAGATTCCTTTACAGTAGTGAAAGAAATCATCAATTTGTAGCCCTATTATTAGAAGTTTTTAACAATATCATTCAATACCAATATGAAGGAAATGTGCATGTTATTTATTCAATTCTTAGAAGAGGTAAACTCTTCCAAGATCTTGAAAAGGATCCAGAATTGGAACCAATTAGAACAGCTATTTTAAAGAGACATGAACAGAAGATTGCTGAAAATCAAAATCAACCATTACCTGAACCTTTCCTACCAACACATGAATGGGTTCAATCATGGAGACCAAGACTTCCAATTTATACTATCATTACACTTATTAATACTCTTTCACCTGATATTGAAAGAATTTGTTCTAAGGAATATGCTACTGAGGAAGATGTTATTGTATATTTGAAGAATACTACTTTGGTTGGTTTATTACCTGTTCCTCACACAATTATCATTAGAACTTTCCAAGGAAATCCAAAGATTGATACATTTATTATTACTTTTGTTTGGGGATGTGTTTATGTCAAGATGTCAACACGTGTTCCTTGGGTTGATTCCAAGCAAATCAGACTTTTCACAATTTTAAACCAAAAAGTGTAATAATTTGAATAAATTTATTCCTTTGCTCCATAATGTACCTTAGCGTACAAAACTGCAAAAATAAGCAAAATTAAGGCAACAATGTAGAGCAAGTAGGTCAAGTAAGATGTAGAGATTGTCTTGTTAGCACTCAAATGTTGAACAGAGATAGATCTGTCAATCGAACCACTGCTTATGTGTACTTGTTGAGTTTTCTTTGAGGCCTTATCTGTTACCGTATCTTTACAAATACTCATACATGTAATGGCTTCACTATGGATATTAAGCTTCTTTCCAATATGTTTTCCTTGTTTGAATAATTGAACACCTCCATCAACACCCAAAGAAATATATTCCTTTCCATCTTCAATTAAAACAGAAAATGCTGTTGCTGGTCTCTTTAACAATTCTCTTGTAGAATCTTGAGTCACAACACCATTCTCAACCTTGTATGTAGAAATAAATGTTGGACACGACCTTGATGTATGAAGTGTATAAAATACATTGCTATTATTTGGGAATGCACATAATTTGAAATCTTGCTTTGGATATTGAGTAATATTTGGAATTCCATTGGAGAAGAGAACTTGGAATGTTAAATCCTCCTTCAATTGAAGGATTTTAATAGCCTTATCCTCTGAAATAATACCCAAAATATTGTCTCTCGATAAACTCATATCACTAATATTCTTTTTGGTAATTTGTTCAACAGAAGTAATCAATTTCATTTTCTCATCTTCAATCTTGTATAAATAAAGAGTATTATTATCATCGTTTGCTACAATGTATCCATTAGAATTAATATCACAAATTTTCTTTCCCAAATCATCAATATTACTGTACAATGTATTTGAATCCAATTCTTTGAATTGTTTTTCTGAAATGTTGTATTGAAGCAAGTGTATTTTGTCCAATGATGCATAAACAATATGAGGAATATCATTAATAATTTCATATTTCAAATTCCAAACAACTTCATCTCCTGTTTCAAAATCACACTCAACAGTAACTGGCTTTTCACTGTTTTGTTCATAATCAAACTTTAAAACAATTATTTTGTTTGGTATTCCGTGTCCACCTCCTCCTCCAATAATCACTCTATTAAACTCACGAAGAAACAAGGTTGCATATACTACAAATTCACAAGGTACGATCATGCCTTGATTATTAACTTTCACTGCCGATGATGATGGAACAACACTTGCAGAAGATGTTGCAGCAACACTCTCCTCTTGTTGTTGGGACATTTTTTTGATGAGGAATTTGTTCAAACACGTAGTTTTCAAAAAAGCGCAAACCGAAACTGTGACGTCATTCTTTGCTGCATTGAAAATTTAAATATTTAATGAATGGTTTTAATAATTGAATGATCATGATGATTACGGAAAGGAAGGTTAGCTTACTGGGTCAAAGCGTTTCCATTAGAAACTATTAGCTTAGTATTATTTGAAGCTTTTAAAATTAGTTTTATTAATTTGATGAATTCAATGGCTCAATGATGAACTGATTAGAGTGTTCAAAACGAGATACAGCAATTGGAGACAACCTTAATGTATTGTTATGATTATAGTAAGAGTTACTATTGAGTCGTTCAACTGACGACGGTTATAGCTTTAAACATTTCAAAAAAATGGAAAACTCTCACACAATGAAGAGTCACAACAACAATATTGAGGAGAGTTCTAAGGCTGAGGAAAATGGAGAAGAAAACATCAACGAGGATCATGTATTATTATCAAACTTGTTGGAAAATCCAAGTGGATCCATACAGAAAACCTCCAAAATATTTTCAATTACTGGTGTTCCTTATACATCACCAGCTAGTTTATTGATGAAGAAGGTCGATGGACCAAAACCACAAATGGTGAGAAGAGGAAGCACAACCAAATTATTAATTACACAAATTATTAATGAATCCAATGTAAATGATAGCTTAAAAACAACAAGCCCTTGTAATTTTAGTAACAGCAGCAAATGTAATTCACCTTCTAATCAGAGTGTTTCATCAAGTCATAGCAGAAGCTTTGAAAGTGAGAATGCTCTTCTTACTAGTCAACATCCATCCACTCCTAAGTATCATACTCCTTCTCATTTCTCAACAAGTGAACCTAAAACATTTGAACAAACTCCAACTCCTTCAAACATTATTCATCGTCCATAATCAGCCAGCAACAGTGAGCGTTAACATTTCTGATATTCTGAAAAGGAAAGATAATACTGGAACGACTCCCTCAAAGACAGTATCAGAGTCTAGAAATGTAATCATATCATCAGCATTTCAATCATTGGAAACACCAAAGTCTTCGGATCGTGCTAGTGCAAGAAAGAAACAGGCGTATAGTGATGACTATTTAATGGCTCAAAATATCACACCAATCAGCAGCATTTCAACAATTATTAAGCAACAGCAATCACAGACTCCAAAGAATGAATCAAAGACAACCTCTCAAAAGAAAACTACTCTTAAACCTAGATCAGCAGGAACAACTACTCCAAAATCAATGTTTTCAAAATCAAAAGTAACACTAAGTGGAGGTTCAAACACTAAATTTGAGAGAGCTAACGCTAAAGAGTGGCAATCTCTTGTGGTAAGTTATTCAAATGTCATATTGAATATCAAATACAATTAATGGAATAGAATATTAATGAAAATGATATCACTCACAATCAAAGCAAAATGGATCTATCCAATGTATCAGTCCATCACTATGAAGAGACTGAGTTTGAACCAAATGCATATGAGTTAAAATCTAGGAATCAAATTAACCATATTAAACAAACCATTAACCAGCATAAGTTGATGCTAGCTAAGAGAGAATTAGAAAGTAAGGAACGAAAGAAGCTTCTCTCACCTTTCATTTCCCAAGAAATTGATAGAGTTACGAAAAACATTATGGAAGGTGGTGATTATGATCACTCTGAACTGTTTCCATCACCATCAATTTCCAGATCCAACAAGGACAGAATTCAACACGTTCTAGCAACCATAGCTCCATTAACTCAAAAGACAAAGACAGCAACTCAATCTTCACATAACCAATAATTCATGAATGGACTAGTAACAGAAGAGATTTCAAACACTAACACGTATTGGCGGTGGGTACTTGGATTTTTTCATCACCAATAAAAATGTCTTTCATTCGTAGACTGTTTTCGAGCGTTAGTCCAGGTAGGTTATTTCCGCTGTTCATCATCCATAGATAATTTTCAACCACTGATCATCACGTTTTGATATTAATCATCATCATTGAATATTTATTATAACAATAACAATAACAACAAATAACAACAAATAATAACAGCTCAATCCTTCTCTAATGATTACGATGACGATGCTGGTGAAGATCCAAAACAAAAGAATTCATCAGCCTTCTCTAGTCATAATACGGAATTTTCTTCATCTAATGGAACTAGTAGTAGCAATAATCCTTCTGGCGATAGTAATACACCAAACGACAGTGATGATAAAACATCTCGGAACTATGAAACTCTCTCCTTTGAAGTTGATGAGCAATTGAATAGAGATTTAACTGAAGGTGTTTCTGAAGATATTACTTCATATCATCGATCTAATATCAACCATAAGAGTGCTGTTCCAAAATTTCCTGATAACAAATTGACAGATATCGAAAAGCAATGGGTCGGTTATTGTGTGGATAAGTTGAGAAAAGTTGAAGGAGTTGACCCAAAGAAAATTCAAACTATTGCACAAAATTGTGTTCTCACTGATAGATTTAAATACAAATTCTTTAACCCAGCCACAGAAATGGATCAAGATTTAGGAATGGGAGCTATGGGAGGAAACAAACATACAAAACCTGGATTGAGAATCAAGTTTGTGCTTACTGAATTAGAACAATCATCACATATGAGATTGATTAGAAGACTTGGTCACACTCTCAATTTTACAAAAGATTTACAATTTGGAATGTTTCACACTGCTTTAATTGTCGGAAATTGGTATGTCGAATGGAATGATAATGCTCTTGCTATTGTAAGAAAGAATTCGTCATCAAAGGCCATTTTTGCCTTCGATCTTGTAATGATTACAAAGGAAACTGATATTCACCGCTGCTTGGATATGATTGCTCAAGTTTGTTGTGAATGGAATGGAACACAAACCTATGATAACAAGAAGAATAACTGCCAACACTGTAAGTGTCTATAATTCATTATACGTTTTATTTAAAATTTTCAATTACAGTTACCCAAGCTGTTTTGGAAAAGATTGGAATTGATTTTGAGAGTAAATTGAAAGGAGCCTCAAAGATTTACATTGATAACTTGAAGAAGAAGGGTGTTTGTGATATGAGTATGGAATTAACTGACAAGTTAAAGCCTCTTTTTAATAATGTTAACTCTGTTAAATTCAACACTCACGCCGAATTAGATTCATTCTATAATACTATTAAGGACAAGTATCCAAACTATTTTGATGATGAAGGAAAGGCTGATGAAATTCTTTTGAAATCCTTCGACAGAGCCTTTTGGTTGAGAAAGGAATCTTCAAAAGCATCTGCTGCAGATGAACCACAAAGAGGTGAAGGTGGTTGTTGTTTGTGTCCATTCAATCAATACGAAGATGTCTATAGAGTTTATCTTGAAAAGAACTCTGTAAACAGCAAGTATAGTCTTGGAAATTATTTACCAGATATTCCTCAAAGATAATTGTAATAATAGTATTAATGTAGAAGTAATAACATGTTAACAATAAATAATTTAACATGAAAACAATTTATTGTAAAATGTATTCACAACAAGTTGACCTCATGGTTACAAAACAACTACTAGCCATTTTAGGTGAGTTTATTCCTTGATGGATTTGAGGGTAAGGAAGGTAAAATGTTGACATGATACCAGAACAGTATTTTACTCATGTAACATATCAACCTTGCTCTGAGAGATTAAACAAATTTACTGACCATAAATGGTTCATTTTCAATGTTTCTTTTGGTAAACTGAGAAAAGCACTTGGCCTATAAAACATCACACAACATTGAATTACACACAACTCAACAGAAAAACAAAATGAAATCAACTCTCTTATTCATTGCTGCATTCATTGCTCTGTTAGGTCTTGTCTCTGCTCAATACCAAACCTTCACCTACTTTACTGATAGCTCTTGTTCAGCTGCCAACTATGTCTATGAAAAGACTGTTCCTGCATCTGCTTGTACTGGATCTAATGCTACCACTGCTTGTACTGCCACTAAGAATTATTACTATACAAGTGCTTGTGTCTCTGCCTATCCATCCACTGTTAATGGATTCATGTTCACCTCTGAATATGATAATAGCACATGTGTTGGTGATGTTAAATCTGTCACTCGTTATAAATTGGGTGCCTGCTATATTTCTGGCTCATACTCATACAAGTATACCAATGAATGTAGATGGATTACTTATACTGATACTGCCTGTACTACTGCTGGTACTTCTGGTGCTAGTGGTGTAGCTATTCCAGTTGACACTTGTCAATCAAGCTATAACATTGTTCAAAAATGTGTTAAGCAAAGTAATGCTCAAATGATTGGTGTTTCTGCTGTTGCTTTGATTTTTGCCATTGTTTCATTCCTTGGTTTTTAGGTAACCAATTAATAAATATCTTTATTTAACAATAAATTTTCACACCTTGTCAAGTTACAAAATTAATTCATAAACTTCATCTCTTTGTGGATCATCTCCCATCACAAAAACATGCTCACCAACCTTTTCAAACTTGAATTTTTCATAAAATCGCTTAGCTCTCAAATTATGTTCCCAAACTCCCAACCAAATTGATTTACAAACTCCACCAAATTCCTCCCTTGCAACTCTCAAACATTCTTGCATTAGTTTGTGAGCGATTGATGTTCCATGGAATTCCTTCAATACATAACATCTACATAATTCAATAGTTTCCTTATTTTGATATTTCAAACATGGTTCGAATGAGCCATAGTTCAATTTACTATAAGCAATGACAAGTTTCTTTTGATTAGATTCATAAAAGGACATATTCGAATCTAGGAATTCAATTCTTTCAGGAGTGCACTTTTGTTTTAGATACTCTTCCAATGCATTATCATAATCAACTTGAATAAATGAAAGATACACATTAGGATCGGTCAATTCTTTCACTTGTTGTGTTGTGTTAAATGCTTGTTCTAAATAATCTCTCATATTTTCTTCAGTGTTATCTTGATGAAATGCTTCGTAAAATAATGTCTTGGCAACGGAGGTCAAGAGAGAAACATCATCTTCAGTGGTAAGTGATGGTTTTCTAATGGTAATGTTTGTAAAATTCATTTTCAAGTATTTTTTTTATGAATCATGATTATATATAATTATCATTTATTGAAGGTTGCAATTGAATTTGAAAGTGTTTCCATAGTGGTGTAATAAACTTCCATAACAACGCAAAAGAAAACAGTTACTGGTATTGTTACTGCTAGGGTATTGTTTTAGTAAAATACTCAAGAAGGGGTTATAGCTCAGTTGGTAGAGCGTCTGCTTTGCATGCAGAAGGTCTAGGGTTCGATTCCCTATGACTCCACTTTTGCCAAGTTGTGATTTTAATTGAAAATAAATTGAATATTATTCTGAAAATTATAACCCTGCCTCAGTGTTGATTTTTTGCTTGTTAAATTTTGCCAATAATTGCTCTCCTTCTTCAGCGATAACCTGTCCATAATAAAAGGGATCCAAATAAAAATCGTGCTCGAAATAGAGCTCACAAAGGTTTTCCAAATATGGTGAATCCACAATATATCTTGCACTTTGGTTTCCTGTATCAGTTGAAGCAATTCCTAAACATTTCAAATTTCTCATCTTTGGACTTTCAGCCAAATATTTCACTCCATCATCTCCTATTGGAGAGTATTCCATTTCCAAATATTCTACACTTTGTATGTTATCACTTTGACATATTGATTTTACTCCTTCAGCAGTAAAATCATTACTGTCCAATAGTAAGGTTTTGACTTTTTTCAAGTATGGACTCGAGGCGAAATATTGCATGCCTAAATTAGAAAGCGAACCGAGGCCAACATTGAGATATTCAATATTGGAAAAGTGTGGACTTTGGCAAAAGTATTTGAATCCCTCATCACCTAGTTCTGTACAAGTTAGTTTTACAAGTTTTGAAAATTTAGAATTGGATGCCAACATTTTAAACCCCTCAAGAGTGATATTGCAGAACCATAGGCTCAATTTAGTTAAATTTTTGAATTTAGTACCTTCTGCAATGATTTTTATCCCCTCATCTCCCATTTTAAAGCTTTCCAATTCGAGGAAGTTAACACGATTGGCAAACTCTGATTTTTCAATCAATTCCAATATGATTATGCAATTATCCTCTTCATTACCACAGCAACCCATCCTTAACTTTTTTAATTTTGTAAAAGATGAACTGCTGATCATTGTCTCTATGGTTTCCACTTTTGGTTTGATGAAATTCAACTCGGTAACAAAGTGACTCGATAATGATTGACAATAGTCCACCCAAGTATAATGATACTTGATTTCACAATTGAATGATTGTTTATGTTTGAAATGTATTTCCACCTCCAAACCGATATTGAACCATCTTTTGCAGACGAGCATTATTTCTCCAATTAATTGAGACTTGGAACAGAAGGGGAAGATGTTCCCGAGCAACATGTCTCGATGATCAAGTGAAAATAGAGCAGCGATCAACATTTCATCATGGTTCAAGTTGACTGTTTGCATTTTTTCTTTGTTTCTTTAATTTTTAAGTATGAACCTTCTTACAGATTGATTAGAGAAGCAAGAGTGAAAGGATACGAGGAAAAAGAATAAGGAGCAGATTGAAGATATACAAGTGTTTACAATGGTTAAATATCTTAAAAAATTGATTTTCGTTCAGAGAATTGAAGGTGAAAAAATATGTTGAATTTGGCTGGTGTGCCTAAATACTTGCTAAAAATATTTTCATTGTAAAAAGCAACTGTGCAAAATATTTTAAAAATTTGCTGAAAAAAAAACAGAAAGTGAGTATCCTATTTTTCCCTTCAATTTTATTAACCCACACCAAGTACATCTAAAATGTCCAAGTTGAGCAGTGACGATCTCAGAGAAAGCGTTCAAAAGGTTTTGACTGATAAGAATAAGAGAAAATTCGTTCAAACCGTTGATCTCCAAATCAAATTGAAGAACTACGATCCATCCAAGGATAAGCGTTTCAATGGTTCTTTGAAGTTGCCAAACTACGTCAAGAAGAACTTGAAGGTCTGTATTTTGGGTGACCACAACCATTGCGAACGTGCAAAGGAATTAGGTATCCCATTCAAGACTGTTGATGACTTGAAGAATACCAATAAGAACAAGAAGATTGTCAAGAAGTTGGCTGACTCCTATGATGCTTTCTTGGCTTCTGACTCTTTGATCAAGAGAATTCCTAGATTGTTAGGTCCTGGTTTGTCCAAGGCCGGTAAGTTCCCTCTCGTCTTGGGTCAAAATGATGATATCCCTGCTAAGATTGAAGAATTGAAGAAGACTGTCAAATTCCAATTGAAGAAGGAAATTAACTTGGCTACTGCTATTGGTAACGTTGAAATGCCAGAAGAAGAAGTCCAACAAAACGTAACTATTGCTTTGAACTTCTTGGTTTCCTTGTTGAAGAAGAACTGGCAAAACGTTGGTGCTGCCAACATTAAGGCAACCATGGGTAAGCCACAAAAGATTTATCCATAAATCCTCTGAACCAAATTCTCCACACCAATACTCCAAGTTTCAACACGCAAGTGTACTTGGATGCTGTTGGAAGTCACAATAAAAGCAGATGTAAACAAATCATTTATTATTTTAATTGTTACAAACGAAAAAGTACCATCACCACTCCGTTGAACGGTAAACAATTCTTTGCCTGTTTCAAAAATTTTTAGAAACAATACAATTAATAATTTGACGTTAATGTGCTCGTCTCGTGGTGTAATGGTAGCATAGTGGACTTTGAATCCATTGACGGAGGTTCGATTCCTCCCGAGACGGTAAACGTGGCGAGCGTAATAATTTTTTAATTGATTTCACATGAACATGGTAAATGCATGAACATGGTAAAAGTTCAAGGAAATCCCTGGAACTCAGTTGACAAAATTTCAGAGCACCCTTTTATTTATCTCAGATCTAATCATATTTTAGAAGGTGAATAAATGTCTCACAATAAAATTGCTATTTAATGAACTCGTGCTAATTATCAAGAGGACAAAATAACAAACATAAAAAAATGACCAAGTGTGACGTCTGTTCTTCATCCAATTTCACCTGTGGGTACAAGTGTGGTAAGGGTTGTAGATTTACCATGTGTTCCAATTGTAAAAAGACCAACACTAAGAATGGTTCTTACTCTGTCAAGTGCATTCGTTGTGGTGAAAAATGTTAAAAAAGCAATTGATCTTGGGTTCTTGGATTTCAGTATTGGTATCTCTCCTCAGAGAGAATATCATCCAATAAATCATAAACATTCGTCATAACGATAATATCTTTAATTATTTGTCATCTTTACATCACTATCACCAAATCTATTGGGGTGGTGAAATATACACGGGGAAATAATCGACAGTGAGGATAACAATAATCACCAAATACCTCTCCAATAATTATTCAACTGATGACTAACATCAAGTAAGGCTCAAAAGAGTTATCTTTCCATGGATTGAATAATGAAAAAGAGATCATAATAGGGCCTTAAAACATTGTCGTTCTACCCTAAGGATTTCCTTAACATACAAAGATATGTTTCTGATATTTAGTACAAACACAATATTGAATGTTGTTACTATATAAATTCTATCATTATAAAATAGTAATAATTGATTATATCCATGTATTATTCTGTTGTTCATATAATTGGACCAGCCAATAGTAGTGTCGACCTCTGCGGATTCAATACTAATAGAATTTACTTACTACCAGATAAAACTCTTAATTTGCAACACCATTGCTGGAAAGTTTAATGTTCAATAAACTCTTTCTAATGCTCATACGAAAAAAAAGAATTCATTCACTCTTGCTACAAGGTTATTATTCTACAGCAACATGTCCACCAATTTTTTAAATTTAAACTAAAAGCACATTTAATATTTTACAAGTTGACTGATTTTCATTGTAAACAAAATCTCATTTCACAATTCAACTTGACCAATATCTCACCCACATTAACAGTAAGGTAACCACATAAAATTATTTATAGTTTCCTCTTGGGAATTCTCTGAATTTCAATAAATTCTAAAAATAAAATTTAAATTTTAAAATTCATAAAAAAATGTACAAAACAAGAAATGCAAGATTAACATCGGCCTCTTTGAAAAAATTGAGCCAACAAGAAGAAAATGATGAAAATGATATTGATTATGATGATGGAAGTATTGACCTTTCATTGACTTCATATAAAAGTGATCGCACACATGCAATTTTATTCGAAAGAACATTTCATGGAATGTTGAGATCGG